CCCGGGCATAAATTATTGCTGTTCGTTAAATACCCTTCTATTCGTGCTGACCTTCTTCCTTGCACTTCCAAGGGATCGCATTTTTGAAGAATACATAGGTCGGTGTTACCGGGGAACTTTTTTCAAAGAATACATCAAGCCGCGGCTTATTTCCAATGAATCAACATTAGTTTTGTTGAACTAGGGTAAGTGTCCCTAATACTGTCACTTTATTTATTTTACTTAATAAAAACATAACGTATAAAGAATTAAGTATTATCTACAATGTTTGATGATATGCTCTCCTCTCATGAAATATTAATTTACTATAAAAACTGGAATTTCCACGTTTAATCAATTAGAAATGGCGAAATACTTTTTTTGTCCTTTACTCGTTATTCAAAACTTTTTATCCGAAGAACGAATTCGCCCATCTCTGCCAGGTCAACAGTTAACGTATCCAGACGGTCGTTTTATTTCTCACAAACCCACTAATATTCAAATAAAACTTCACCCGTATCCAACGGAAGGGTCTTCCTCTCCTATTTTTTTTCGTTATACCGCTGCTTCTCGTTCATTCCCACCATACAGATCACAGGTAAGTGCAATAATACGGCGCGGTCAAAAATTCCGACGTATGCAGGGTGTCCAAACAAGATGGGACAATCTGCAACATACGTATTCCCCGGGCAATTATAAATCGAAAAGTTCTTTACCGTTTTGTAATCTGAAGCTCCATTTCCGAGATATTACAAGATAAACGAACTCCAATCAGCTGAGATTGAGTCGTGCGCTCCTTGACTGTGTTTGCACGTACACGTGACCCACCGCTCAGCTGATTGGATTTCGTTTAACTACTAATATTTCCGAAATGGAGCTTCAGATTACAAAACGGTAAAGGACTTTTCGATTTATATTTGCCCGAAGAATACGCATGTTGCGGATTGTCCCATCTTTTTGGAACACTTTCTATAACCACCACGCGATGACGCTTAACGAAATGCAGTACGGAGACGGCTAATGAAGTCCGTCGCGGAGACCCAATACATTCTAAAGCGGCCGCAGCCCGTTGTTATCGGTAAATGAAAGATAAGAAGGCGTAGGCCAATTAAACCGGCGATCAAGTGTTTCAATGATCGCGCGCGAGCAGATAAATAATTTATAAGATTTATTTATTCCGACGTCGAGCGTATAACCATACGGAGGGGGGATTAATATAGGAGTGGCAGGATTAAAAGAAACAGCCAGAAGGCAACGACGGTGCAATCACCATTGGAAAATCCGTTTCTCTTAGCATATACACTATTTAGTCTTAATAATTACGCACTACCGCCGCGGGTTTGTCCATTTACATATCTGTCCAGCGTGAGGTGGTCGGTGACCGTGCGCGTCTTTCACCGCCGATTCACACAGATCGCGAGAGTGTACAAAAATGCGTGGTCGCACCTGGCCCTGCACGCAAAACATTGGCCGATTCAAGAATTACTCTTTCTGATAAAACAAGGACGTTACCAGCCGCTGCGAACTCGCAATCCACGAACGACACTCGCAATCAAGAAAGGCTAAAACGGCGAGTAATAGAGCTATTATCCTACGCTCTCGGCCCGTCTGTCCGCGTTTTAATTAAAACTTCGCGGCATGGACATACGGTCCAAATGTTTCGACGGAAGGGGGAACAGTACAGGGACGATCGTAGTATTATTCCACGCGAGATACAGTTCTGTACACCGTGATTCGACGGACCGTGTCGTGCGTAAATAGTAAATATGTATCGTGCACTCCCTCTGGACACCGCTATCGATCTTTCGTCTCGCGTTCCCTGGAATCGCAATAGGCATCATGCGTGCGTATCGTTACGAGCCTCGTTATTGTACGATTTCATCGTGCGAAACGTACTGTGTCTGATTTATACGGGTCGACTTTGTATATTACACAGTAAATCATCGACGAGTGTTCGAAAGCTTCTCGGCACTGACAAGAGAAGAACCCAAATTGTACCACTTCGATTTTATCGAATTTTTGTAGGATGATGGAATACAGGTTTCACACATATCATTAGAAATATGTATTCTATCATCCTACAAAAGATCGATAAGATCGAAATGGTACAGTTGAGGTCCTTCCCTTGTGAGTTTAGACGTCATCCTCACCATTGGGGCGGTCTCCCGTGGAACTAATCAAGCGTCCAGTGGTGGAGATAACGTCTGAACACTCAATGCCGAGGAAACTTCGTACACTCATCGATGATTCACTGAACTCGGGCCCGATTCACGTCACCGTCCCATAAATACATGGTACTAGACGAGGTGATAAAAATCCAAAGTGTGCGATGTCTCTTTATTCGAAATTAAAGCTAACCTCCCGGTGGTGGAGCGAGAACCGTCATGGCGTCACGATGTTCTACGATCATATCTCGAAGACGAATCCGAAAACCAGGATTCAGCCGAGGAAAGCGTTTATTTCGTGCTCTCGATTTACTTCATGGCGAAGAATGATCCATTCGTTCGGTGGACAGAGCTTCGTGGGTGAAAGGTCGGCGGATCGAAGACGTCAAAGCGTCCACGTGGTCGATTAAAAGGGGCGGGGAAGGGAGGGCACAAAAGTGGCGCGTCTCGGAGAAGGATGATAGCTCCGTATCTAAAATACACTAGGGCAAATAATTAACTAGGAATAGTAGGAACGGATTTCATTTTTGAGCAAGTCCTTAATGCCTAGGGGGGAGGAGAACGGATGCACGGTCTATTGAGATTAGGTGTACTTATTTATGCAAGTACATACGCCTTTAACGTACGTGGTCGCGGGGTCGTGGGGATTATTTATAATAATAGGTGAGATATCCCGGAAGCGAGTGCTGTCGATCGGATCTAACAATATATGTATAACGTTAGGCTTCGGGGATACCTCCCTCTACTATATCGTTAAGAATGTACAGGTTTTTACGTTTAAAAAAAAGAACAAAAAGAGACAGAGAGTATTTCTCGCGTTTCACACGAACGAAATTCGTGTGACCAATAACCATCGAACTCGTTCTTGCGTGAAACGTGGTTAATAGTTAGGACCGACACTGTAGAAAAAATAAAGCGCATCGACAGACGTGTGAAACGTTAATAGGGACCTTATAGAATATGTGTTCGTCTGTATGGTAAACTGGTTACGGCGGTACAACAACCACAGTAAATTATCGATGAGTGTTCGAGAGCACCTTGGCACTGAGTGTTTAGACGTCATCACCACCACTGGGCGCTTCACTGATTTCAAGAGGACCCCCCTCCCCAGTGGTGGGAATGATGTCTGAACACTCACAAGGGAAAGACCCCAACTGTACCACTTCGATTTTTATCAATTTTCTGTAGGGTGGAGGGGTCTCCCTGGAACCAGTAAAGCGCCCAGTGGTGGGGATGACGTCAGAACACTCAGTGTCGAGGAGCCTTCGAACATTCGTCGATGATTTATTGTATAGCAAAAATAGATCGTCGTATATAGATCGGGAGCACAGAATCGCTTTGTGACTCTCTATCCTCTCTTAAATGGTGCGCGTGCAATTTAAAAATGGAGATCGGCTGGTTAATAGTCTCTCCACGCAACAACAATGGGGGAACATTAAATCCTCCTGATAAACGGTTCGTCGGTATACACCAACGAAACCCGTCTGAACATCCTCGCTTTGACTATTGAACAAATCATCCGACAGAAGGCACTTCGTACACGGTAAAACGTATGGTATAAAATCTCGTATTTTAAAAAAACGCGTGTTATATAAACGAAGTCATACGCGTTTGGGAACTGGTTTGCGTCATTATTAAAATTTCACAGGGGAACGGATTCTCTGCTCGTGGATCTAGCAGTTCCGATTAAGCCGTGTTCCCGCTCGATGACTTACACCACATTTCCAAGACCAACGCGCGGTTAAACTGTACATACGTTCGACGTATCAAATAACGAGATAAATATTCACTTAACCCTTGTGCACTGTACGATAATTGAGTTGTAAAAGAATATATTAATTTATATCTATATCGTGACACGCATATACAGGGTGTCCCACTTAGCATGAGCACCTTTAGTACCTCTATTTTGATTGAATCAATGAAAATTAATTTTAATCAATGCCCAAAGTGATGCCCATCAACTTCGATACACTTGTTCCACTAATCCCTCTATTCCAAGATCACACGAAGGTCACACTATTATAAGTCATTCGATTGGTCTTGATCTCAACTATTGTGCCACGTCGATTAAAATTTGTAGTTCCATTAAAAAAAAAAAAACATCCATGACCTTGAGATTTCGAAACATATGACCTTGAGAAAAATGTATGCTCATCGTCAGTATTTGCTGCTTCTAACCAAATAATACTTTCCCCTCGCATTTATTTGTATACGTTAGGCGAGACACCCTGTATATACTTTATGCTGAAAATTCCTTAAAAATGATTGTCTCGGATCCCACACATTGGACAAGGGTTAAACGATACTCGCGAAAACTTATTAAATTTCTACAGCTAGAGAGTATGAACATTAATAACAATCGGTAAATATGAACGCTAACAGTTTATTTCTATTCTACCGACCCAACAGAGAAAACTATTCGATCAGTCCGATTCACTTCGCCGTCGACGCGGAAACGCGGCTTAACATGGTCACCGTTCCAAACGGAATTTCGCGACCGTTCAATCGCAGCTTTGGTCCTCAAACGTTGCCCGAAAACTCCTCGAATTTTCAACAGTGTTCACTTTTCGTCAGCCTCTCTCGAGATCGCGTTCAGCTCCGAAGCTGCCCGTCTCTATTGCACTCGCTCAAACATTAGGCGACACTTTTTTTTCAGTTCGGTTCGCTGAACATACACACACACACATAGACGCATACACACACGCATTCCCCGTCGCCGTGGGGTTTCGATTATCGATTCGAGAGTTCACGCCATGAATTTTTATGCATTAGGATGTAGAAACACGTCTGAACACTGGCGGAAGGGAAGATAGACATTCGGTCTACAATGGTGGTAAAGCGGCACGGCTTCGATCAAGACTTTGGGGGCTCCTCCACGTGATTCTTCCCGTCTTCCTTCGCGTTCTCCTTCTCCCACTCGTTGATCCTCTTCAAGGGATAGCAAATCACCGCCGACAGGAAGATCAGGCTCCCCGACAGATAGAACGACGCGTCGTAGCTTCCGGTCGCGTCCATGAACACGCCTGAAGAACAGAAGCAGACCCAGGCGTGAAGAGGATCGCGTGTACGGTATGTGTTCCAATTTCAGTAAGTATTTAAAATAAGGAAGCCATCACCGATTTCGATGACTTTTTAATATGTTTCCAAAGTCATCACCTTGAGTAGTATTATGAAGGTTTTAGTTGGGTGTCGCCGTTTGCAAATAAGTTATTATCAACAAAAGTTTACTGTCGTACTGTAATAGTATTGTTAAGTAAAATGACCTTGACTTTGACATATGTTCTGAAGGTCACCCTCTTGAGTGACCTTCAAAAAGTTTCTGTTACCGTATGTTGTTTATGTCAGAAATTATAAAGAGTTTTATTTACTATTATTTCATAAAACCTATCCATAAGAAATATATGTATAACTTTTTCTTACCTGAAAAGGCAACATATCATGTGAGCAAAAATTAATTCAAATGATGAGTATAAATACATAGATCACTATGTTTCGTGAGTAGAAATCGGGACATTTACCTTATACTCAAACTGAATGCACAGAATAACCATCGATAGTTACACTTTCTTTTCTAGTTCTGATTATTCTCTGCTCTCCGACGAGTCGCGAAACTGCAGTTACTCAACGGATTAGATAAACACACTGGGTGTCTATTTATCTAGTTGTTTCGGCATCCGGTTGGAGTAATACGATCGTATCTCCCGCCTATAAATCAACCGTTCAGACGTGGATATTGTTACGATTCCCTCGCGAAACTTCGATTATTATGCAAATATTACAGAATATAATATTATGGAATTTGATTGCAGATTGATAAACATATCAGGGGAACATTCATATATCATGAATTTTCGCGCGATTACTCCGTGACGATTACGTAACCGAATCACTTTCGAAAAAAAAAATATCATGTGAAATCAATGTTATCTACGGGATCAACAGGCATTCATTATATACCCTCGTATCGGTGACGTAAGTGCATACTCAAAAACCAATTTGATGCGAACACTGTGATAAGTTTGAAAGAATGTGATACAATCTATCGGTTGTACAATCACTGACACGTAGCCAGGCAGGTAGGATGATCGATATTTTTTTAATTACCTGCGAGAGGCGCGCCCACGGCAGCCGCTACACCTTGGAACAAAAGAAGCAGCCCGAATGCGTTGGTCAGTTTCTCCAGACTCAGAAGCTCTACCACCAGGATCGATCTCAGGGAGGCGAAAACAGCTGTGTGTGAAGAAATCGTTGAATTAGAAATATTCACCGTTTCACGATTGGTTCTAGGATCTTCTTCGATAATAGCAGCCAGAGATGGGTGCGACTTAACAACTGAATTGGAGTTGATAAAGCCCTTAATCCTCTTAGTATTCATAAAAACTGTTGAACTGCATTATACATTTCGTCACTTTCTGTATCAGAATTTCTAATTTGGAGTGGAGCCGATACTTCAACTTTTCGGTACCAAGAGGGTTAAGCTGGTAAAGAAATTTCTGTTTAACTCCAGTCGCAGCGAATCAGCCCACAAACGTGTAATTCGCACGAAAAACCCGCAGTTTACTGGTTAATCGATAGAATAAAATTGCCCGTCTCTTTTCAGAGGAGTGGGTCAGTTCCGTTGTACTCACATATACTGAGACCAAAACTGGCTGCATAGAAGAACTGGTACGTCTCGGTGAGCGACAGTCCAGAGAAAATGGTTAACAGTCCTCCAGCGCTGATGAATATGTTGTTAACGACCAAAGCGTCTACGCCGGGCAGGCTGCTCGCCATGCCGCAAACAATACGACCGATGGTATTGCCAATACCGATCACCGATACGAGGAACATGGCCGTAGATGGGTCAATTCCTGCTACTTTAGCTCGGTCTACAAACAGAATAACAGTTGTTCGTTATTTTCTATTTAATTTTCTGTATATATTTTTTTAGTGAGGTTTAGCACAGCCATAGAGCATGGAGTTATGAAGTCTAAAAATTAGTTTATGAAATATTTAATGTTCATCGCCTTGAGGAGCCTACGAACATTTTCATCGAGGATTTACTGTATCATGAACCATAAAGCTCGAACTGTGGCAACATCTAATACCGTACCTGGGACGTACATGAACGGTGTGTAGAATCCCATCATTGTAAGCCCGCCAGAAATGGCCAGTATCAGGAAAGAGGGGCTCTTCAGCAGACTCAGATCGAGCATGGTCGTGAGGATACGCCGTACGCTCTCCGGGCAAAGGTAACAGGTTCCGCTCTTCTCCTCCGCGACGTCGGTGGCCGTTGGTAAACGCGTGACCGACATGTGATAGCCAACGGACGATTGCTACAGGAATCGTTATCCAATAATCCGATCATTCTACATATTAGAAATCCCATATGCCAACCGTACCCTATTTTTCTTGGTCTGGGTTAGGCAGACCATCAAACAAATTCAATTTCCACTCCCAAAGACAGATACATTCGATAAATTCATTATCTCTTTACCTGTCCCCTTCGAACCTATCCCAAGAACACGATTACGTCTTGAAAGAAAAATATTTTTAAAAGATTATCCTGCTATAATAATTATTTTGTTGTATGAAAAATTCATTTTTTATACTGACAATTGTAAACAAATCATATTTTCGCGATTTTCTACGTGATGGGCAAGAGGTGTTTTAATTTGAAAAAAAATATGGTCATATTTCCTGAACTATTACGTACAAAATGAGCCTTTCGGAAAGATGGAGCAATTAAAATTTGATTGAGATATCTTCTTTCACCAGGCAGTTGTACCAAGTCACGTCAAATTTATAAAATTACCTGGGACTTGTAATGGGGCAGCCTGTTCAACGAGCCCCCATAAAATATGTCGTCCCTGTAAAATGGCCTCTGGGGGTCTTTGCTGAACGGATTCCGCCTGTTGCCCACTTTCAGGGACTTCTGGCTGCAGTCCGAGTCCGTGCGGAGGCGTCGCCCGCTGATTGTGTGCCTGCGAATCTGCCAACAAATCCACAGTCGCTTATTTAACCTTAACGGGCGTAAGTATACACATACATATGTATACTGCCCTCCTTAGCTTAATTGTCCTAACTGACATATTCAGACATCCGAGAAAAATTAGGTTTTATAATTTTCATTGTATCGTCCTCATTCTTCATCCTAAGCCATTTTAGATAGGAAACGGTTTAAATCATATTTATTTTACTTCTTTACGCCTATCTTGAACATAAATAATTGAGTTAGGACTACCTAAGTTAGTGTGGATGTTTCATAGGCCAATATAAACGAATAGAATCATTTGAAAACCAGTTAAGATAAATAAATCAAGTTGTTTTTAGAGCCCTAAAAAGTACGCAGGGCATTCTAGGTTTTGACTAAAAAGTGAATCAGCATATGGAGCACTTCATTTCAATGTCACACCACGAATGACCCCGAATCGACACGAAACAGGGGACACCACTCACCGTGGGTACCTTGCCGTTCAGTCTCTCGACGTCGCCGCCCAAAAGATTGTTCTCCTCCTCTGCGGTCTTCTCGTCTATGCTCACGTCCAGATCCGGATATATAGGAACGGACAGTCTCTTCTCCGAGCTACTCAGCTTCCTCTCCAAGGTCGTCATCTCTACGTGGAGCTTGTGCAACGAATGCAAGGACTTCGAGGCGCTGGAACAAGAAAATCAGACTCCCTGATATCCCGTTTCTACCATTTTGGCGCTTGGTTCGGCACATCTTCTACACTGATGTGCAAACTCGAATTCCACTAGGGGAAAAAGTGGCGTAGGGTAACGGCTTCCTACCACTTGGCATCGGTAATTATTGAAATTTATGTCAAATTAACATTCGATTTAACATTTATTTCAGTACTTGACATAAATTTATCAAGTTGTACGAGGTCCTTCACCTACGCCACTTTTCCCCCTAGCGGAAGCCGAGTTTGCTCGTGAGGGTACCGTTGACGAGGCGTTTTCCTTGTCCCCTTTTCCAGACTTTCCGTCGAAGCTGGTTTCAACTATAAGACTAGGTGTCTTTTGATAAGGCCGACGGTATTCGCGGCAGGATAACGCTTTCTTTCGGTTAATTTTGCGAGATGCGGGTTACAGGACTACTTCGACTACTACTTCGACCGAACTGTGCTCCAATCCGGGAAATACGGTTGTCTCGGGGCTTTCATTCTCGTTAAATCCTACTTCGACCGAACTGTGCTCCAATCCGGGAAATACGGTTGTCTCGGGGCTTTCATTCTCGTTTTGGTTCAACTTGGTTATCTGTTGTCGGATAACAGCAATTTCTGGAAATGTCTTTGTTGCCCCAAGAGTCTTGAGGTATTAACTCCCTATCACCGGATGTTGTTTGTTACTTGAAGATAGACCGTACCAGGTGTAAACCCTTCATGCTCATAGTATCGTGTTCTATGAGTACCAATTTCAGATAATCTACAGACATTGTTATTATCGATATCAACTCTACTTTTATCGGATACGCTCCAAGGAATGATTTTACGATAACCGAGAGCTTTTGATCCCCGGACATTTCGGACCGCCTGCGTGCTTATAACGTGTTATCGTCGTGTAACATTGCCCCAGTGAATGCGTCGAGTTCAAAAACGCATACCCTATTACGATAGTGTAGCTCATTTGTAGACTGCGGATGTTTATGCAAATATAGATTTTTGGGGATTTATTTATAGGAACTAGAGTCAAACCAAGACACCAGGTTCTAGAGAAAATGAAAACTTCTTCTAAATTTATCAAACTCTTAAGTGCATATAGTGAATTCTAGAGAATCGTGTGTGCTATGAAATGCATAAAATCCGCAGGCTACTCATTAGTATCTATGTAGTTCTGATACAGAGAGCTATTTATCCAGAGTCTACCATGCAGTGTCCACGACAGACACTCGACCGACAACGGAGGATGTAATATAATTACTTTACTATGTTGTGGTTGCTGCCCAGCAGCTCAGCGGCGGTAGGGTACTCCATGTTGTTGTTTGTCCCGAAGAAACCACTCCTGCCCGGCTGTACGCAATGCAACGATGTCGTGGACATCCCCCTGCCCATCAACCCGGTCTTCATCTCTAATCCGACGTTCTCGGGGGTGGACTTCACCTTGATTCTCGTCGGTTTCAACGGACGAAACATCGCGCCGAATACGGCGCAATTCAACAACATACCTGCGAAATTTTCCTGTCACTCCCTCTAATCCAGCCGACACAATCGCGTTTTCTTATACAGGGTGTCCACCACCTAACGTGAGCACCTTCTGTATCCCACTTGTTTTTGGAAGATACAAAAGAATGCGAGGGGAAAGTATTATTTTATAGTGTGGCCTTGAGTACGAAAAATCCACAAATGTATGAGAGTAGATTTAAATAGCAAAATAACTACAATAAAGAGTCTAGTGCAAAATTGTATCAAAGTTTAAATTTTTTAAAATAAATTTTCTGCAAGTTCAAAACAATTGGGGACACCCTGTATACAGCGGGATCTCCGGACATACTTTATCCAAAATGGAAGTTACACGATGTGAATAATTTTTTACACGATAAAAAATAATTTTTTTTCTGGGGAAAATTACCTTTTCTTTGAAAGGAAGGGTGATTAAGGTCGTTAAGTAAGAAGGAACGGGATTGTTTTTTGAAAATTGGACACACTTTGTCATTATACAGTCAACATATTGTGATTACAATATCAAGTAATTTATCGTTCTACAGTATTACTACGCCCACGCTCAACGGAGGGAAGAAATAATCGGAGGATAATGTAACTTTAACCGATGTGACTCGTGAGATAGAGAAAGATTCTGGATTACCTGCTTGGAAAAGCAAAGCGCCTCTCCAGCCGAATTGCTTGACGAGCACGTCGGAGATAGGTGCGAGCAAGAACGCACCGATTCCGGAGCCGCATACCGCGATCCCGGTGGCCATAGCTCTCCATCTTTCAAAATAAAATCCGGTAGTTATCACAGCCGGCACGTAAATCAAGCCTGCCCCGATACCTCCTGACAATCCAAGAGACAAACACCACGTGAATTCCAGGGAAACAACAACACACACGATAAGCAAATGGAGGTTATGAATGGACACATGTGTATAATAATATCTATTTTCGTGTTTTCTAACCCCGCCGACCCGTGGTCCGTGCACGTCGAGAGGTTTTAATCTCGATATCGAATGTTTCTTATATTTAATTTCTTTTTCTTATATTTTATTGCACATGTACTTTCAGTGCTAGAAATAAAATTGTTTTCATATTTATATTTAATATTTTTATTTTTAACCGTATCAGTCCATTATCTACTTTCTTCGGTTCATCACGGGATACTACATCCAGTTAATTTATAGAAATCAGTGACATATACACACGTCCAGTCGTTCACTCGCTACCATTTACGATCGAGAGACTCGATCTTTCGATCGTTCTCTCGCTACCATTTACGATCGAGAGACTCGATCTTTCGATCGTTCTCTCGCTGTGTCCATGCGTCCCGGTTTATCGACCGGGATTCGTGATTTCCGCTGTCCCACGAGGGAAAGGCACAAACGTTTACTGTACACGAACACGGGCACGGCGGAATATACATATACAGGGTGTTAATAAAAAAAAAAATGTGGGACAGTTTCACATGATGGATTCCACATACAAAACCAAAACGAAAGCTCTCTTTCGAGGCATTATTTCCGATATATTAACTGTTGTAAATACGGAAAAAATGCGCGCAAAATACGTCTGACACGGCCGATTATATCGATCTATTTTCGAGGCCAGCTGCTCTCTTCAATTGTTTTACGTATTGGTGATGATCATTTGATTGGTATTTTTCGTTCGTAATTTAACACGTTGACTGCCACAGTGAAAAAGACCGTACCTAGCCAGACACGATTTATTTCGTTTAACTTGGAAATGAAGCCTCGAACGCAATTTCGTCATTCGTGATTTTCGTCTTAGTTTCGCGTGTATAGTCCATTCTGTGAAAGCTGTACGCATTTTTCTTAACACCCTCTATTATACAGAGAGAGTTTTTCCCGTTCCTACGTGGCAACTTCGGGAAAATATATGTACATTGTATATGTATATCGGGCAATGAACTTACCGAGGACGCCGTAAGAGATATAAAGGAACTCGATTGAAGTGCTGAAGTACGAGAGAACGAACGCACAGCAACTTATCACGCTTCCCAGAATTGCTACCAGCCGGAAACCGTACCTGTTTGCTAGGGCTGAGACGAAGGGACCTACCGAGAAGGTGACGAAGAATTAAGAAAACGCTAATGAAACTTGGACAACTGATTTCGGTTGTGGTCATAAATAGTTACATTTTGAACTGAATTAATACCGTTTGTCGATGACAGACAAAATCAATGTTTCCTTTATATTTAACACTTTGCTGTCGGATAACGTAGGAGTACGCCTTTTCGAAAACAAAAGCTTAATGTAATTAGCTACTGTGATTGAACCGTTTAATAATAATACCTTAGCTGCTGATCGATGGATCTATTGGACCTATTAAATATCAACTGGTAGATAATGTGTTAACTTAAACCCTTCCACCAGCAAAGTGTTAATTTTCATAAACTCAAATACAGTACGTATAGTCGTGTATGAGTAGATTCGAAGGATTGCAAGAGGATCTCCTCGTATCCTCGTCACTGACCAGCCATAAGATAAAATCCGGACTGCAACGATCCGACCAGAGCGACCCTTGCCTTGGACACGGAGAACGCCTCGGCAATGTCGTTGAGGAACACACCGAAGCTGAAGATGATACCGTCCACGAACAGGTTGCACATGAAGGAGGCGGCGACGATCACCCAACCCCATCCTCCGTCCGGCGGCACCACCATCTCGACCTCGATGCTCTGTCAACAAGTTTCCGATGGTATCTCTCGCAACAAAGCTCTCACGTCGGTATCGAACAATTAGCTTTAGTCTCTTCATAACCCCCTTTTCGCGTAATTACATCAAACTTCCAGTTCCTACAGATCTGTCGTAGCCAACCGATTTACCAACCGTAGAAAACAAGCCCGTTCCCTTTCGAGCATCAAAGTCAGTAATTCAGCCGTCCGAAAAAAGAGGCTCCCGGATCGTCACGATAGAATAATACCGGTTCAGTTTTTGCAACGAGGAGACGACGGGGGATCATCTCGGTCCGTCGACAAAATTCCACGAGCGGCGCGAAACGTTTCAACATCGGCCGTCGCCGCCGCTGCTGTCGTCCGTGGAAATTCACGAGGCGCCTTAAGATCAAGGCCGTGCAGAAAGTGTGAGCAACCGTGTGTGGACTTTCGGCGTTCTCGAATGGGTCTATCAGAGGCCACGTGACCGAAAACTCGGTTCGTGTTATCGATACCGCGCGCGGTTTAAGTCTCTGGTTAGAACGGACGATAACTGCGAAGGAATTACAGGACTCGGAGGGGTGTTAACACCGGAGTGAGATCGTAGTAGGTGCCATTATGCCCATTATCGGACCATTCAATCGTAAATAACGGGTCGAACAAACAACCTGGGAGACACGATTAACCCCTGTTCTACCAAGCGTCTGGATGGTGTATCGATCGAACGATTCAATTAGTACAATGAGGTCAGTGTCGAAATTTGATCAGGCTCGCATGCTCTTTACCTCGTTATTGTTGTCCTGGATGTCTTCCAGCGGCAAATCATCGTTCTTGCAGCCGCCATTCTGCTGTGGTGCTGCCTTGGCGACTTGCTCATCCACTTTAGTCCCCAGCGACGCCATCGTCGTCCACGGTTCACTGAAACAGCCGGATTCGATCGTGGCCTGAATGAACATCGTACGAACTTTGGAGACTAGTGGGAGAGAAGATAATGGAACCAAACACGGTTACGATTTTTCAGAATTCTGTTGTTCCGTCCAACGAAAATCTGTAACGATAGCCAAACACCCGATGATAGAGAGAATAAAGGGGATGATTAACCCCCGTTGTGCACCGTTTAAGAAACTGTTAAACGTAACTAATCCTCGAATTAAACTGGGCTGAACTAGATATCGAATTGGGGGAATATACATCTATATTTGCTTAAGAGATAAAAAGAAATCGACTGATTCGACGTAACCCAGACTACTCGGACGATTCTTCTCTGAATTCATACAGGGCGGATGCACCAGTAAATGTACCAGTGAGTGAACATTATATGTAAAAACGAGTAAATGAAATTAGTAGGATCAGCAAACGATTAAACATTGATTTTTTTGCAATTCCTTGTTTCATATTTAAACAATTTTCCACTGGTTCGATAACGTTCATTTACTTCATATTGTTGATTCGCTGGTGAAATCTGTATTTATACTTTGTAATTTAATTAATTACATTTCTTCCAATTTTTCAAAATGAAATCTATACGTTATCACAAAGTTATAGGTATTAAATAATCAAATTTTTATGCGCCGAATATTTATTAATATTGCCATCTTTTAAAATTCGAATTTAATAGTTACAAAATCTCTGAAGTGTTCATTCATCGATGCGTTTATCCTAACCGAAACAAAGATGGCGGTCGCGGGCACCAGTTAAACACGTCCAAAAAATCGCCGCGTTCCAAACGTGATTTAATTATGTATTACGATTCCATTAATTATGTAAACGTGTGTGTTCAATCGGTTTGACGTGACACACGCTCGCGACCGGCCACAGCATAAACACGTGTATTATCGTACCTATAAATTATACACGTGTCGCCTGCTGTACTGTAGAAAACTAACAAATGACGAGCCGTTCCTTTTTGGCCTCGCGACGGAATCGATAGCGCCTGCATGTGTACCTTGTGTAATTTCATGGAAAGGATAATAAGATCGGTGAAGTGGATGAAATTTAACTGTTCCTCTGTTTTAAGAATGATCATAATACAAGCGATCTTTCGTTCGGCAAGATGTGCTCAGCAAAAGAATCTGTGTATTGCCTCCATTCCAAAGGGGCAGTATGTTTTAACCCTCGAAGAAGTTCAAAACAGATTTAAATATTAAAATCTCGTTTCGTGCATCGTTATTTAATCCCTCCAGATAGATTCATATTCGGTACCCAATTGCGTTAATTAATCTCAGCAAACGTAAATTAGCATAAGCACTCGTCACTCCAGATATAACACGATCGTGGTGGCCACACATTTCTGCCACACCCTCGTTTCAGTGAATATATTAAGATGTATCACGGATGATCGTAAATCTTGATCCTGTATACCCTCGTCTTGCGTGCAAATTTTTCCAATATCACGATATTTACTCGAAATATCAAGCTACCAACGGACACACAGCTGTGAAACTTTTTAAGTCTTTGCTGTCCCTATACATATACATTCGATCGTAATATCTACTGCAATCACATACGTTACAGATATCGTTTGTCCAAGTAACCGTATTTATGCATTCCTTAAGACGGACAATCACGATAAACAGAAACAGAGATTAGATCAGATCGATTTGCGATTGATGTACGAGTTCAGATGAAGGTTACACATTTGTCACGAACACACCCCCATTCCCTAACGCTTTCGCTGCTGGCTGGAAATTTCATTTCTCTTTCCTTTTTTTTTATGAGAAATGGCTTATTTGTATGGAATGATATTCGTTTTTACATCACTGGTCACTGTTTCGTTTCAAAATGCAATCGTTGCGTTGGCAGCGTCATTAAAATAACCGACTGAACGCAATGTGTGTCGGCAGCAGCGAAAGTGTTAACTCTTTCATTCCCAAATTATTTAAATATCATCAAAGAAATATGTTCTTGTATTTTCGTGTATATTACATGAAATAATTTTGAGTCACAAGAACATTTTAACATTTTGAAACCGTAATTTTAAATACGTAGCTATATGGAAACGGTGGGAACGAAAGGGTTAACAAACTCGATTTACCGTAAAAAGTTCCGAATCATTTACTTCATAAACTGTACCCCGAAACGACGTTATCCCTCCCACCGGATCACCCAGCAAACGAACCGTCCAGATGCGATTCTCCACTGGACGGTAACCGAAGGTGCACCGAACGTTCTACCAACGAACGGCCAATAAATGCACTTGCGTTACCAAAACGACACAACGATCGATTCGGATAAGGTGGCCAACTTTTCCAAAATTCTTCAAGATCCTCGATATAAATCACCTCGGTAATTTCCGCCCGATTTCTAGTAGTCCACGACCGTCGATTTTCAGAAGGCGTGCACTGGATTATCGTCGAATGTGTATTAGTTCGATCGACAAGTGCGCGCGGGATTAATCGCTGACGACGAGGAATCTCGACTCGGAACTGTATCGTGCCTGTATTGAATCGCAGATATTATACCGACGTTTGCGTAAAGTCTCGGAAACGGTTCGCGAGTCAACATCAACACGATATCAGGGAGAAAACGACGCCCGCGATAAAGCACCGGCTAGCGTCCAGAATCGCGGGTAAACGATACAGAAGAAGAACGCGTTTGATGTATCGCGTATTGACCGTCCAATCTGTTTGGACCGATATTCGAAGACCAGGTCCGTTTTTAGAACCCTATTAGAGGAGACACGAAACACAAACAGAAAAAAGAATCTAGTGGGTCGTTGTTTTGAAGATCCATTAGGTGTCTGACAGGCAGTTCTGTGGTCAGACGTGATATTTTCGTGTTCGGACGTGTTATTTGTCGATGTTTTTTGTGTAAATAGCAGCTTCCTTTAGGTCATTAACATATGAAAAAAATGGCGATGGAATATTAAAAATTAATATAACGCGTGAATATGGTTTAACCGAATGTAGAATTAAAACAACAATTTTATCTTATGATGCGATAATAAAGAGCACGATCACCTAACAAATTAAGCTGCTGTGTCACACAGCCTGTGTGTGATTTCGGAAGACTTTCGCGAAGAAACCACGTGGCCCTGCGAACCGGTCGCTCGAGATTACATACCACCGCGGGAGGGCTGTTAACGCAACTGTTACAAAGAGACACGAGCTACCTGATTTACAACCGTGAAACTGGAATGAATGATAATTACATACGACACAAGGTTGGTTAAACGTGACATCTCCAACGGGAGCTGGAGACACGACCGCAGTAAGATTTACGCAGTCGAAGTCGGAACGACATATCGAATTGGTCCTGAGGAAACCTCTCCGCGGTTGATTAGAGCTCTGTTGCAGAAGGCAAAAAGGAGCAATCAGCCTGTTAAATTGCCACACCAACAACGGGTGGAAAGGAGCGGGGGGGGGGGGGGGGAGGCCGGCCTTGACCTTTCTCAATGCTGCTGGTTGACCTTCATGCACGAATGAACTGCGCTCCACCGTGTCAGGAGTGTATCGTATATTCGCGTGGTTTCCACCGTTTTTAGAAACACTGGTTCCAACGAGTTGGATACGTTGACTGGTACCGCGAGAAGTCTAATGGTATCGCTGCATCGATCATCCTATACGATAGTTTTCTTTTAAATCACTAGAAATCCATCTACAAACGAGGTTGAAGAATTTTTTTGGGCACAATGGAATTAATTCAAAAATGGAAATAAATTGTATAAAAAGTAGTGAATAAGAATACGATATAAATTGACAAATATAGATTGTAACTCTGTCCTTAAAAAGACTACGGACTTTCCGGATGACCCAATAACTATGCTCGTCAGTAGAATCGATTCACAAACCAGGGTACGAGTATACTTTTCAAACGTCCAAACCGTAGTCAAACCCCGTTCGAGTTTCTACATACCCGTGCAGGGGATGATTTCTGGTTGCAGCACACGGATCACTGGCAACGGTTTCGAATAATTCGACGTCCCTTGACGTGTTTAAGTAATCAAGCCGAAAACTGCTCGGACTAGAGACTCCGTTAATGGGACACTGGGCCTGGGATCTTCGTGTCCGACACCGTGATCACGGACAATCGACTGACGAGCAGTCACTCTCGAGGACCGTTCGGAGGCGAGCGACTTTGTATCTCGTGTTTTGTAAATTGCCGATAAGATACGACCTATGTCAACCGAGCAATTTACATATCGCGTGAAACGCATCCCGTGAAAGCAAAAACACACGGAACCACGTGCTCTGTTTACCAGAAGGGAGAAGAGGGCGATCCTCGCAGAGACATAGACAGCAAATCATCGAGACAACACACAGGAATAAATACCAGCCAAACAATATTTTCGTCGTCGCTTCCGAACTTGGACGACAAAAGAGTTTTATCAAACAGACTACGACCTCGCGTGCAGTGGCAACAGACACGGTGAAGCCGCGGAGGAAATGATATCCGGTTCCAAATGTACACCCACGGCTTGGATCGCTTAAAAATACATCGTGGAGTCTTCTGTTAATTATGCAACGGCGATTGGAGCGTGTTTAGGAAAAAGCATTCTATGGGACATATTAACCCTCAAAGATCACATGGTGGGTTACGGTAACCCAGTCCTGTCCGAGAAACACCTGGCATTTGGGGACGGTAAAGGGTGGACAGTTAATCTACTAAATGATGTGTCGAAAATACTATTTTGAAAAAGGTGCAACTGGTCGGAATCACGAATAAAATAGTAAAGGACACTTTGGAATTCTGAAGCCAATGATATTTGTTTCAGTCGAATATAGCCATTAGTTTATAAAATATTTACTGGTCATCTCACACTCTTCGAGGATTTACTGTAACGCGCACGAATAGAGACACGTGTTTTAAACTCCGGTAGAGTTTCGTGAAACCTTTCCACATGTGACCCTAGCTGCGATGGTTAACACGGGAGCCGTATTGTTGCACGGCTCGGGAAGAGTATTGTGCAAACAGGATTGTATAAACTTCAACCGAGTGATAACGATTCGTGCTTATT